GCACGTACACAAATAGGCATGTATGTATGTATGCATGCACGCGTGTATGTATGTATGTCTGTCGGTCTGTCTGTCTGTTCTGTCTGTCTGTTCTGTCTGTCTGTCTGTCTGTCTGTCTGTCTGTCTGTCTGTCTGTCTGTCTGTCTTTATGTATGTATGTATGTATGTATGTATGTATGTATGTATGTATGTATGTATGTATGTATGTATGTATGTACGTATGTATGTATGCATGCATGCATGCATGCATGCATGCATGCATGCATGCATGCATGCATGCATGCATGTATGTATGTATGTATGTATGTATGTATGTATGTATGTATGTATGTATGTATGTATGTATGTATGTATGTATGTATGTATGTATGTATGTATGTATGTATGTACGTACGTACGTACGTACGTACGTACGTACGTACGTACGTGTTGGTGCTATCTTGGGCTCTCTTGGAGCCTCTTGAGGGCTTCTTCAAGCCTTTTTGGGACTTCTCGGGGGCCTCTTTGGCCGTCTTAGGGCGTTCCTGGCCCGTCTGACGCCGTCGGGAGCCGTCTTGGGGGCCTCTCTGAACCGGCTTGGGGCCCTCTTGGGGCGCTTCGGGGCCGTCTTGGAGGCCATCTTGGGCGTCTTGGAGGCCTCTTGGCCCATCTTGGGGCCCTCTTGGGGCCGTCTTGGGGGCCTCTTGGGCCGTCATGGGGCGATCTTGGAGGCCTCGTGGGCGATCTTGGCGCGATCTTGGGGGCCTCTTGGGCCGTCTTTAGCCGCCGGAATGCCGAGAAGAAGCAAATGCCAAATTCATTCAAAAACCTAAGGAAAATCAATGATTTTGGCTTCTTCGGGCCCTCCTAGAGGACCTTTTGGAGGCCTCTTGGGTCGTGTTGGGCCGTCTCGGAGGCTTCTCGGGCGACCTTGGAGGTGTCTTGGACTCTCTTTGGCCGTATGGGAGGCCGTCTTGGACTATCTTGGGCGGACTTAAGGGCCATCTTGGATCATTTTGGAGGCCATCTTGGGCCAACGTCGCCATCTTGGAGGTCATCTTGAGCCGTCTTGGAGGATTTTTGGGGGGATTGAGGTCCTGGGCTGCTTTCCGGGTGGCCGGCGGGACGGGCCGAAGCTCCAGGGGGAGTTCTTGTGGAAAAAAACCAAAACCAAAACCGAAAGGGTTCAGCACGCCAGGCACCCCTGTGATGGGTCAACAGGGGGCGGCGGATCTAATGGCCTTCGGCCCATCCCGCCAAACCGTGCCTGGGTTGTAGGTATGAAGCCTTTTGGATGTTCGTTGGGATCTCGTGAGGGGCCTTTTGGGGGCAGTTTTGGGGGCCTCCTGGGGCCTCTTTTGTGTTCTCTCTTTTGGGTCCTTTCTGGGGCCGTCTTGGGGCCCTCTTGGGCAGTTTTGGGCACCTCTTGGGCCGTCTTGGGACCCTCGTGGGCCGTTTTGGGGCCCTCTTGGAGTTGGGCCGTCATGGGGCGATCTTGGGGGCCTCCCGGGCCGTCTGGAAGCGTCGGGAAGCCGAAAGGCGAGAACGCCAAACACCTTCAACAACCCTAGGACAATCAATGATTGTTGCCTCTTGGGGCCCTCTTGGGAGGCCTCTTGGAGGCCTCTTGGGGCGTCTTGGAGGCCTCTTGGGCCGTCTGGGGGCCAGCTTGAGCGTCTTGAAGCGATCGTTCGGCGACTCGGGGGGCTCCTGGACCGTCTTGGGGGGCCTCTCGAGGCTTTCTCGGCCCGTCTTGGGGCCCTCTTGGGCCTGACAAAGTCACGCAACAATATGCGGGCGAGCCTAGGGGGCACGCGGGCAGGGAGAACGCGCCAAGCCCAAGGGGGCACGCGCATGAACCGCTCACATGTACATTTCTATGCAGAGGTAATACCTAGTGGCCTGAGACCTCTAGATCGTATTTGCAATACTCAGCGCAGAGAACTCGAAGGAACTCGATGACATTCCGCTCAGTTCGATTATCCTCAGTACGGTTGATAGTTCCACCAGAACCGCGCGGTCTCTATAGTCCTTCGTTAAGCCGTCTGCGTCGCATTGACGGGCTTCGGTGGACAAGCGCACGTTGGCGCTAACACACTTTCTGACCATCATCGATCAGTGCCTCGCGGCACAGTGGTGGGTCCGCCAGGCTGGCTGGCCTAACTGTGTTTTCTTGACTCCAGAGGTCTGTGAGCCTACCTGGCTCGCTCGCCTATGCGCATGCATCTGCGCTTGCACGCCCCTGGAGGCCAATTACCTTAAGCAATTATATTTGCAGTCAATCGCATATAAAGGCTTACTGACATATCCATAGGTGCTCAACCTGTGCATACATGCACACAGGTGTGTATGTGTACATGTTTGTGTAGACAGAGTTATGTACAAGTTTGCATGCACAGCCAGCGGATGGGTTTCGGTGCATCTGTGTGGTAGGCGCTCTACGACATTTGCTTCCGCACGCTGAAGCTGACCACCCCGACCTACGGTGACCTCAACCACCTGGTGAGCGCGGCGATCAGCGGCGTGACCACGTGCCTGCGCTTCCCTGGGCAGCTCAACTGCGACCTGCGCAAGATCCGTTTGGCTTGCGCCGCACGCACTGCCAACACCCTGGGGGCCCTGGATTCGGCGGCGAGCAAGCGGGGGAAGTGAGAAGCAGAAGGCCTTCTCAGAAAGTGGCAAGGCTTCTCAGAAGCTCTCTGGCCTTCTGAGAAGTTTTCTGTGTCTTCGGGGAAGGCTTAGAAAACCTTTCAGAAGGTCTGACAACTTCTGAGCCTTCTGAGAAGGCCCGCCCCTTCTCACTTCCCTCCCAGTCTCGCCGCCGATGGATGCTTCTCTTCTGATGTGTGTTGTCGTAGAATCCTCACGGTTCTGTGCGACATTCCTGGAATCCAGAAACCGGGCGGGGAGGACGAAGACGGCCGCGGCAGCGTTCTTGGTCGGCGTCCATGTGGGGGTGCAGCACGGTCTGCGGGGTGAGCGCTGCTGCCCCCTGGGGCCGTAGTGCCCGCGGAGTTGCCTCCTACTCCCTGGTCTCTTGCCCTGTCGTCGTCGTCGGCCCCACTCGTGTGTCGCCAGAGAAGAAGGGGATCCGAAATCCGTGTTCAGAAGGTGCCTTGTTGGGTCATCTTCGGGGCCCCTTGAGGGCTTTTGGTAGCCTCTCGGGGACTTCCTGGACTCTCTGGGGCATCTAGGCTGCCTTCTGAGCCGTCTTGCTTATCCTCGAGCTACTTGACATGTTCAGCACATCCAGATCATTCCGACAGCACGCCCAGTCATCCTCCGTCTCCAAACGGGCCAGACCAGCTTCCTGGGGGAGGCGCTGTCGAGGGCCAGGCATCACACACGCTGAGTAACCCCAGCGGGTCGGCGAATCGCCGTGAACCTGATCCCGTTCCCACGGCTGCACTTCTTCATGACGGGCTTCGCTCCGCTCACGTCGAGGGGCTCCCAGCAGTACCGTGCCTTGACGGTGCCTGAGCTTACGCAGCAGATGTTTGACGCAAAAAACATGATGTGTGCAGCCGACCCGCGCCATGGCCGCTACTTGACTGCTGCCGCGCTGTTCCGCGGTCGCATGTCCACGAAGGAGGTGGACGAGCAGATGCTGAATCTAGAGGGCTGTGCCTTGAGCCGCTTGAGACGCCATTGATGGCTTCGCAGCATGGGGGCCTTCGGGCCGGAAACGTATGTGGCCTTCTGTCTGTTGGCTAGGCTGCGCGCACGTGCGCGCCGAGGGGTGTTCCGGCGCCTGCTTGGCGGGATGGCGACGTCGGCAGAGGATGGCCGGGCCTCTGATTCCCGACGACCTTTTTTTTCCGGACGGGTTCCGGCTGCCTTTCCCCCCATGGAGGGTGGGACATTCGGGGACAAAAATACATGGCCTTCCTATGTTGTGGCTTCGTGAAGCCATCTTGGCTCTCTGTTAGGCTACCTTTGACCATCTCGGGGGATTTTCGGGTCATCTTACGGCCATCCTGGGGCCTCATGGGGACGTATTCAAACGGTTTTAGGGACACCTTGTGCTCTCTTGGGCCCTCTTGGGAGCTCTTCGTGGCATCGCAGGGCCATCAATCGTGTGACCTTGGTGGGCCACCTATGCCGATCTTGTGCGCATCTTGCAGATTTTGGGGGTTATCTAAGGCGATCTTGGGGCAATCTTGGAACCTCTTCGCGCCGTCTTGGATATCTCCTGGTGTTTCTTGAGTGCAGAAGACGGTGCAGGCAAAACACTTAAAAAGAGCTGTTCTCAGATCTAATTTCTCCTTGAGGCCATCTTGGATGCCATCAGGTTTGATCCGACCGATCCGATTTGATGTCGATTCTGGGCGGACCAGTCCAACCCGATTCCGATAGTCCGACGGTCTGATGCGGCCGGATGCTTGCATGGCGTTGTTGTGCATCGTTCCGCGGCCGATCCGATTCGATTTCGACTTCGTGCCGATGCAGCACGATCCGACGCACGTTCCGACCCGATACGCCGATTCGATGCTGACTGATCTGGCCTTCGGGGGCGTGTCGGAGATCATCCAGGTCGGTCGCGGGGCATCCTGGGCCGTCTTTGAGGCTTCAGAATGTATCCCTGAGCCATCTCGTATTCGTCCTGCTCCGTCTCAGTGCGTGCTGGCCGCCGTTCGGCCGCTGTGTCGTTGCGATTTCTTTTTCGATCTCGGGAGGCGTCCAAGTGCCGAGGAGACATGGTGAGATCAGTCCAAGTGTCCTGTTTTGGGTCCCGCGGCTTCGCACACTTGGACACTGGCAGTGATATGTAGCGAGCAGCCTGCACCAAGAGTCGCTGAATAGTTTGCAGGACATAATGTGCGCACACATGCTGTTTGATCCGAGAGGTCTTTTCACAGCCGGGTGGCCCCGCTACGGGAACCAGAGGATGTCCAGAACAAGAATTCGTCGTATTTCGTCGAGTGGATCCCGAACAACATTAAGGCGTCCGTGTGCGACATCCCCCCCAAGGGTCTGAAGATGGCGGTGGCCTTCGCTGGCAACTCCACCGCGATCCAGGAGGGAGGGAGGCAGGAGGAGGAGGAAACACATAAGGATGCTGATGATGATGGTGATGATGATGCCGATGATGATGCTGCTGCTGATGATGACGATGACGATGATGCCTCTGATGTTGATGATAATGATGACGATTCTGTTAATGGTGATGATGCCGATGATGAGGATGATGATACTGATGCTGCTGCTGCTGATGATGCTGTTGATGACGATGCTGCTGATGATGATTACGATGCTAATTGTGGTGATGATGACGACGACGACGGGGGACGACGAGGATGATGCTGATGCTGATGCTGCTGCTGCTGATGATGCCGATGATGATGACGATGATGCTGATTCTGCTGCTGATGATGGCGATGATGCTGATGCTGATAATGGTGATGCTGCTGCTGCTGATGATGATAACGATGACAATGAGGACGATGATGATGATGCTGCTGATGATGCTGATGATGACTATGATGATGATGATGCTGCTGATGATGTTGATGCTGATGCTGCTAATGATGCTTATGATGTTGATGATGGTGATGATGTTGATGATGTTGCTGATGATGATCATGATGCTGATGTTGATGTTGCTGATGATGATGACGATGCTGCTGCTGATGATGCTGCTGCTGATGATGATGATGATGCTGATGCTGATGCTGATGCTGATGCTGCTGATGCTGATGATGATAATGATAATGATAATGATAATGATGATGATGACGATGCTGATGATGCTGCTGATGATGATGATGATGATGATGATGATGATGATGATGATGATGATGAGGGTGTGGGGTGATGGTGGTGGTGGTGGTGGTAGTGGTGGTGGTGGTGATGATGATGATGATGAGGAGGAGGAGGAGGAAGCCGTGTAACTACTTCTAGGCGATTAGCGTGACCCCACCAACCCATCCCGCGACTAGTGTCTGGCGCGCGGTCTAGCGCACATTGGACTTGCTTGGTACTGTTCGGCCCCGTTCGGTCTCGCGCGGTCTTAGCTGGAGTGGCCAGGCGTGCTACCATTTGGCCCGATCTGGCCGGCGACTTTTGCTTGACGCGAAATCCAGTCCCATCGGATTCCGGACATGTGGGTCTCAGGTGCCTCTCCAAGCGGTCAGGCCAGTTTCGGGGTTACCTTCTGGAAGGTTGAAAGCGGGAGTAAAGCGGAGTTCGGACATGTAGTAACAAACGGCTGACCGCGAGGCGGCCACCGATAGCACACGGCTGCCCAGAACGGAGGTCCGAAGGGGGCAGGAGCGGTCCAGTGTTTTCTGATAATGTAATCAGCACCAGAAGCGTAGCGGGGATGGAATGAAAAAGGCGCGGGTGAGCAAGGGGGGCACTTGGAGAGCTGTAGCGGAACATCAAGTATTGACGCTTCACGTATCCCCATCAGACTCGCCGCCGCTGGCGCTTGCGCCCGCGGCTGTAAAAAAAAAAGTATCCCCATCAGCCCCTCCCACTGGCCCCCCTGGCCTTCACCGCACCTGGCCGCTGCGCGTTACAGCCCCCCGCTGCTGGCCCAGTGTCGTCCGGAGTCGGCCCCAGCACGGCACTTGGCTCGGCCTTCCCGCCCTGGGGGACCCGGCCCCCAGGCGCCGTCAATACCGGGTACGCAGTCCCCGCTGGGGCGGGGCGCGACGTGTCTTACGGCCCTGGCCGTTGCTGTGGTTGTTTTCACCCTGGCCATTGCCCGGACCTGGCCACGGCCTGGCTCGGTTGCCCTGGCTCTGGCCCCTTCGTGACGTCTTCGACTCACGCGTCTTGTCGCAGGCCCCTGGGCCCAGGTTACCTCAGCCTTCGGTGTATGCGACCCCGCTCCGTCCCTCGCGCCTTTGCCTCATTCTGGCTTCGTGGAGTCGGGTGAGGCACCCTGGCGTTCAGGTGACGTGCGTTCTGGCCAGTTCCGGCGCGAGTGCTTGCACTTCCCTGGCCTCTGGTCCCCAGTCACCGCCACAGCCTGGCTGTGTCTGGCTCACCTTTCGTCGCAGGCTCCTGGGCTCAGTTCCCCTCAGCCCTCGGTGTTTGCGACCCCGCTCCGTCCCTCGCGCCTTTGGCACTCATCCTGGTTCCGTGGAGCCGGGCGAGGCACCCTGGCGTTCAGGTGACGTGCGTTGTGACCAGTTCTGGCACGAGTGCTTGCACTCCCCTGGCTTCTGGTTCTCTGTCGGTTGGCCCTAGGGGATTCCGGTCCGCCGGTTCCTTCAGGAGTGGTTCAGCCTTCTTGAACGACCAGGCGTATCACCTGTCGGTCCGCTGCCCAGACCTCTGGTGTGTTGTGGCGACAAGGTCCAATTCACGTGCCTGGTGATTCAGCGCTTGGCACCCGCACGTTTGCAGCTTCCTGTCAGCCCCAGCAGCTTGCAGTTCCCACCCTCGGCGCTGTTTCTCAGCTTCGGCGGTTGTAGCACGGCCCTCGGCGCAGCTGCAGCGCGGCCACGGCGCAGCGTTTTTTTTGTCGGCGGTAGCTCCTGCTTTCCTGTGCGCGCGCGCCAGCAAGTAGGTTCGCTCGTAGCCCGAGCCGACTCGACCCGCTGCGGGCGCTTTCGCTTGCGGCCGCGAATGAAAAATCCCCATCAGCCCATTCCAAAACGACGCCCAGGCGAGTTGAGACGATGATAAGCGCAAGAGCAAAATGGGGGAGGGAGGAGGAGGGAGGAGGGAGGAGGGAGGAGGGAGGAGGGAGGAGGGAGGAGGAAGGAGGGAGGAGGGAGGAGGGCGGAGGGAGGAGGGAGGAGGGAGGGAGGGAGGGAGGGGGAGGGAGGGAGGGAGGGGGAGGGGGACAAACTAGGTGCGCTCGCGTCATATCTGACATCCTACCCCTCCTTCCCATCCCTTACCATGGCGCAGATCCCCTCTCTATTCGCACAGTCGGATGTCGAGCAGGGTAATGATCCCGAAAGGGTACGCGATGCATTGTAGAGCACGGCGTGGCATGGCGTAGAAGAGAACCGCAAAGCGCAGTATCAACCCAGCATTGCATTGCACGCCGTGGCATGGCACGGGAAATGACGCCAGCGCTGCAGCGGGAGCACGAGTCGAAACGAGCGGAAGCGCGGAAATGAGGCCAGCGCTGCAGCGGGAACGCGATTCGGAACGAGCTGAAGCGCGGAAATGAGGCCAGCGCTGCAGCGGGAACACGATTCGGAACGAGCGGAGGCCCGAAAATGAGGCCCGCGCCTCAGCGAGAACAGCATTTTGAACAAATGCAAGCGAAAACCCAACTCCCGGAATCCTGTGTGTAAAAAAGCAGGACGCGTCGGGGGGGGGCGAACACTCCCAGCACGTCATCAGGGGAAGGAGGAGACTAGTATTCATATTGAGTAATTGTGGACGAGGAGGAGGAGGAAGAGCAGGAGGAGGAGCATGAGGAGGAGGAGGAGGAGGAGGAGGAGGAAAAGGAGGAGGAGGAGGAGGAATAGGAGGAGGAGGAGGCGGAGGCGGAGGCGGAGGAGGAGGAGGAGGATGAGGAGGATGATGATGGTGATGATGATGATGGTGGTGATGATGATGATGATGATGATGGTGATGAGAAGGAGGAGAAGGAAAAGGGCAGTCCATCCAGAGACGATGCCCAAACGAGTTGCCATGATCAAGGACGTGGGGAAGCATACAGAGGAACACAGGGATGGAAAGTCTGTCGTTCCCCAAGGGGGGGAATAAGGAGGATGAATTGGAGGCGGAGGAGGAGGATAATGAGGAGGAGGAGGAACAGGAGGAGGAGCAGGCGGAGGATGCTGCTGCTACTGTTGTTGTTGCTGTTGTTGTTGATGATGCCGATGATGGTGGTGATGATGATGATGATGATTATGATGATGATGATGATGATGATGATGATGATGATGCTGATGATGATGATGATGATGATGATGATGATGATGATGATGATGATGATGATGATGATGATGATGATGATGATGATGATGGTGTTGATGTTGTTGTTGATGATGAGGAGGATGATGAGGAAGCTGATGATGATGAGGAGGAGGAGGAGGAATAAGAGAAGAAGGAGGAGGGCGAGAGGGAAGGAGGATGAGAACGTCGAAAAGGAGGAGGAGGAAAACGAGGACGAGAAGGAGGAGGAAAAGGTTGGGCAGGGGGAGGAACCAGGAGGGCGAGGAGGAGGAGGAGGAGGAGGAGGAGGATATGCAATACGCGGATGAGGAGGAGAAGGCGGAGGACATGGAGGGGAAGGAGGAGGAGGAAGAGGAAGAGGAAGAGTAACTCTAAAGGGAGCTGGGGCAAGGTCGAGAGGTAGCGAGCGTTTGTCCGCGGCCGTTTGTGTTCAAGCGGCCTGCCGCCAAGATACGACTGTGCCTCATCGCGAGGCACTTTTTGCCATTGAGACCGAACACATCTTTCGCTTGAGATGGAACGTCGCTCCCGCGACGATCTCCTACTTCTGGGACTATCGTTACTACGGTGCAACAGAGATGGATATGGGCTTCGCCTTAGGCGAAGCTGCTGGTTGGGCCTCTCAGTCCCTTTCAAACTTGGGAGCTGGCCTATGGTGGTCAGCTCTTTCTGTACCCATCACCATCCATTGCGCTATCTGGTGGACTACTGACACGGTGGAACATCAGGGTGCAGTGGGTCTGCGCGGAGGAATGTATATAACTACGCACAACGGCAAGGACGCTTGCAGCGCTACCTCCGCTCTCCGCGGAGGCCTCTTACAAGAGTCATACTTCCGTGCGCTACTACATTCTTGAAGTCCACCCGCCCACTCCACTTGGGAGAGTTTTTTTCGAAGACGCCGTGCATGGCAACGTGCGATGGGACATTGTGCCGCCTACACCCCCACACAGGCTTACGACAAAACACCACAAACCCTAACCACGAATGTCCGACCACGACCTACGGGGCCACTGGATTGGTATTGCTATCTTTGGCCTTCTGTGGGTCGCTATCGGGGGTGCTGTGGGGCGCATGCAGCGTGGTGAAGACGACTCAAGAACAACCGGCCCCCACTGGGACCTTGCAGGTCAGGTATCTTTTTTCGCGA